TTTCTGCTTCCCTGGAGACTAGGACATGAAACAATGGCTTCAAACTACAAGAAAGGAGATTCTATCTGAACATGAGGACGAACTTCCTGACTGTGAGAGCCGCTCAGCAGTGAAACCCTCTCCCCTGGAGTGTGGTGGAGGCTCCTTCTTTGGAAGCTTTTAAACAGAGGCTGGATGGCCATCTGTCAGGGTGATTTGAATGCAGTATTCCTGCTTCTTGGCAGGGGGTGGACTGGATGGCCCATGAGGTCTCTTCCAACTCTTTGATTCTATTATTCTATGATTCTATGAACACTGGAAGCCTCCCATGTTGTGAGGGAAGTGTCCAAGGACACTTCCACGCTGGTTGAGAACGGGGCCTCCGCTGGAAGTCACATGACATTGTGTGGTGGTTGGCATGAAGCTCCATCCCCAAAATAGGTTGGAAGTGTCCCAGGACACTGAATTTAGTGAGTGATGAGGTCATACGCCTAATTTCCTGACATTTTTGTCTATTTAACTGTATGTTTATGCAACCAAGAGTAAATCCATATCTTCATAACCACAGCAATGCTTTAATTTCCCTAAAGAATCAAGATATTTCAACTCATAATAGAAAATAACAACTGTAGCCAGCCAAAGTAAGGATCCATCCAGTTTTACAATTCGGCCTTGATAAGAAGTTGGTGTAACATTAAATGATTACCCTAAATATTACTTTTTTAAAATTAAAGATTTTATTTGCATACAATAACAACTTACAGTATAAACAAAACACAAAACAGTAAACATTTTACAAACATATAGCCCCACTACCAAGGCCTGAACAAGTATCATTTCCTTCACCATGTATTTACAAATCAACCATTAATCAAATGTCATATCCAAAATTCCTGACCTGCACATGAAGATAATAAGAAAAGAAATGCAGTTAACTGATTATCATGAAGATAATAAGTGCTAGAACAATAATATTATTGCATATTTTTCTTTAAATTGCCATCACTGTTCCAAACAAAATACAAATGCAGTTTCCGACTTGAAAGTAACTTTCATCCTAGTGAGTGAAAATAAGTAATTATGTTTCTACTTTTCAATATTTTCTGTTCCTTTATTTACCTGTTAGTCCTTTTGGATGAAGGTGCATTGGTCCATTTGCACAGTAGGATTTTTCTTGTTATTTTAAGATGGACTTATTTTTGTTGCCCTGTTAACCTATTATATCCCTTTGTTCTAAAACAATGTTAAAGAGTAAAATAGTGATTTGCTGTTTCTATTTACCTTTTATCAATCTTATCCTTCTTTAATTAGCTTAAAACGAAAACTCTGACAAGTACGAATGACATGGAGATAGAGAGAGAAAAGTTCTAACCTGAGTTAATGAAGTTTTTCTTCCACAGTTTATACCACCAATGAAGACCATGTTGGGCATGACAGGCCTTGGATATTCGAACACAAAGTCGTAGCGCAGAAGCCATATAGATGCTTGGCTATAGAGCTCTGTTATTGTCATATCTCGCTGTAGGAATTCCTTGCTTAGAACTTCATATGGTGAGTAAAGAAGATAACATATTATGAATTCCAGTGAGCCAACTAAAACATTCTTCACTCTTTGGTTAAATGTCATTCGATCAGTATTGCGTGTGAAGAACTTTGGTACATACGAATATGGGTTTGGACACTGAGTTGCCTCAAAATCCAGACCACAGGGGATTCCACGTAAGTAGTAAACTGAAGGAATGGATAAATACTCAGCCAGAATTTGCCCACATGGAGACACTGGATCTATCAAGACAACATCAAACTGATTTTCCTCAAGGTAAGTAATCAGTTCTTTGTTGTACAAGAGCTGCTTGCAGTTGTCAAAGAAGAGTGCTGTGACATTTCTTACTTTTGCAAAACTCTCCATCGCTTTTGTGAGAAAAGGCTGGTGTGCAAAAATCCTGTGGCCAAGCTTTTGGAATTCTGCTTTCAAGTATTCCTTTGTGTGGTTGACAGCAAATGTTTTCATTGTGTAGGCTCCAGATGGCTTCATCCACAAGTTTGCTTCAGGGGCAACAACTACTAGTTCATGTCCTCTCCACTGAAGGTTTTCGATAACTGGTTTGAGACTGAGCCAGTGACTGCCATCCACAGGCATTACCAGCACCTTCCCCCCATCCGAAAGGCTCCAGAAAAAGAAAGTAAGCAAAATCCATGAAGGTAGCCGGCAAACACTTTGAAGCATAGTGTTTGCTACTTTGAAAGTCTTGTCAGTTGCCTTGTCCAATATGACAAGAATATAGAAGTCTTCTTTTAAGCAAGAGAAGAAACACAATTCACTGATTATCATTCAGCCCTTTTCTCCGGCACATTTTATTGCTGAACTTGTACAGAAGCACAACGGAGTTGCAAAATATGGTCAAAGGTTGACCCTGCCAGGCCCATAGCCGGGGGAGGGAGTGGGAAGGGTTTTTTTTAACCTGACACATTTGGGGTGTGTGTGCTGAACTCTTAACCCCCCCCCCCCCACGCGCAGGCTATGGTAGTTTGTTAACTACTACATCTTGTGGTGGTTAACAAAGGAGAAACATTTTCCATCACATTTTTATAGATATGCATTAGAATGAGCATCTTATTGTTGTGAGCCCCACATTCGCCATCAATTCTGTCCATTTCTCTAGCACCTGAAGGATTTTGCAGAAGTCAGTATGACTCCCAAACCAAAAACAGACAAAAAAGGTTACCTACCTTTGACACATGCTAATACAAATAAAATAACAAACATATAATTTTACAATACCATCTTACAAACCTTGGACAATGGCTTCTTCTGTGCACAATTGACGCCTCCAACGTAGATCATGTTAGGCATCACTGGCCTGGGGTACTCAAATATAAAGTCATATCTCATGAGCCAAATGGATGTTTTACTGAAAAGTTCCGAGACTGTAGTCGTCCTCTGTAGAAACTCTGACGCAAGTTCTTCGTGTTTTGCAAAAAATAGACGGCAAAGTAAAAACTGTAGTGGTGAGGTTAATAAATTCTTCACACGCTCAATAAAGCTCATGTGATCCGAGAAAGAAGTAAATCCCCATGGGATGTATGAAAGAGGGATTGGACACTGAGCTGCTTTGTAATCTAGGCCACATGGAAGTCCACGCAAAAAGTACACAGTAGGCAAGGACAGGTATTCAGCGAGGATTGGCCCACAAGGCAGTATCGGATCTGAAAACATAGCGTCAAATTTGCTCTGTTGGAGGAATGTGACTAGTTTTTTATCATTCAGAAGACTCCTACAAGCAGAAGCATAGAAGGCTGTAATTCTTGTTGTATTCACGTACATTAGAAAAATCTTCTCCAGGAATGGAGCATCATCAAAGACAGCCTTACCTAATGAACGGTAATGGGCGTCCAACTCCTCTTGGGTATAAGGCACTGAGTGAGTCCTTACAGTGAAGTGCTCAGATGTCTGCATGAGGAGGGTGTTTTCTGGCATTAACACTACAACTTCATGCCCTCTTTGTGCAAGCTCCTTTAGTGCCATTTGCATGCTAAGCCAGTGGCTTCCATCCTGTGGCACAACCAATAGCTTCCCACTTTCAGCCAAGTGCCAGAAAGAAAGCAAAAATGTAATCCCAACCGCTACATGGCTTCTTGATTTCAAACATGCCATCTTGATCCTGACGACACCTAGACTCACTATGTATTCTGTATCTGAATGGTGTATATTGTAAAATTTAGCACAAGCATGGCCTATAAAACTACCAATTTAATGGGAAAGTCAATGTTTAACATGTGCCCTCCTTTGAAGCTAAAAGTTTTTTTTATCAAGTACCAATCAAGTTCATGTTGTATATTAACAAACATCCCTTGGGCAACCACAGTTTGATAAGATGATTCAGCATACTAGTATCTATTTATTATATGCCGCATGGAGGTCACACAAGTTCATAGGCACCTTTTGAAAGCAATAAAGACTACATTCAAGCAAGGTGAAATATATTATATTTCCTTTTACAATGATTTCTTTATTAACAAGGCTACCACTTCTAACAGTTACCCATTTGTTTTTAACACCTTAAAGCAGCATTTACTGGATGGCTGCGTGCCAGTAGGTTGAGGGTGAATCCAGCAAAGACGGAGATCCTATGGCTGGGTCAACCGGGCAGTGGGGATATCCAGCTGCCTACCCTGGATGGCAAGGCGCTACGCCCGTCATCATTGGTAAAGAGTCTGGGAGTCCTTTTGGACCCTCTGCTGACGATGGAGGCCCAGGTCTCCGCCGTTAGCAGAACCGCCTTTTTTCATCTGCGGCAGGCTAGATGGCTGGCCCCCTACCTGTCCAGGGACGACCTAGCTACGGTGATCCAGGCTACGGTCATCTCAAGACTGGACTACTGTAACGCCCTCTACATTGGCCTTCCTCTTCGGTGATCCGGAAGCTCAAGTTGGTACAAAATGCAGCTGCTCGGCTTCTTGCGGGAATTCCGATGAGATGCCACATAACACCAATCTTACTACAGCTGCATTGGTTACCAATTGAGCACCAGATCACTTTCAAAGTGATGGTACTCACCTTTAAGGCCTTGCATGGTCTGGGGCCGATGTACCTGAGGGACCGCCTCACCCCCTACCAACCCCAGAGATCCCTCCGCTCTGAGGACCAAGATCTATTGGAAATTCCCAGTGTCAAGACCTTGCGTTTAACAGCAACCAGACGCAGAGCCTTTACAGCAGTGGCACCATCACTCTGGAATACTCTGCCACCTGAAGTCCGTGCCTTGCGGGACTTATCAGCTTTCCGCAGGGCATGTAAGACATATCTGTTTCGACAGGCCTTTGATCTTTGATATTGCTGTTTTTAAATTGTTTTTAAATTGTGTTAGATTTTAGCCATTCTTGTAAGCTGCTCCGAGCCCCAGGGGAGTGGCGGCATATAAGTTCGAATAATAAATAAATAAATAAATAAATAAATAAATAAATAAGTATTTCTCAACCTGGGGGCCAGGACCACTGGGCAAGTCGCAAGAAGGTTTCAGAGGCGTCACCAAAGTCCATCGGAAAATACATATTTCTGATGGTCTTAGGAACCCTTTGGCAGAGAAGGCTGAAGATCTCTCAGCCTGTCCTTCTCTTCCTTTTTGGAAACAGATGGCAAAATCTCCAACCTAAAGCTCTCCTCTGCTGTGATTGGTCAGCCTCTCAGCCAAGGGGAGGGCTATTTCTGAGAGTGCATGTGGGGAGGGGAGAGCAGGCGTGTTCAGCACATGGCAGCATGGTGTGCATGTGTGAGTGAGGGAGAGCATGTGAGGCTGGAGGGAGGGTCACACCAAGTCCCTTCAAGGCATGGGGGTTCTTTGTGAGAAGTTTGGCCCAATTCGATTGTTGCTGAGGTTTAAAATGGTCTTTGATTGTAGATTAACTATAAATCCTAGCAACTACAACTCCCAAATGTCAAGGTCTATTTTCCCCAAACTCCACCAGTGTTCACATTTAGGTATATTGAGTATTTGTGTCAAGTTTGATCCAGATCTATCATTGTTTGAGTCCACAGTGCTCTCTGGATATAGGTGAACTACAACTCGAAAACTCAAGATCAATGCCCACCAAACCCTTCCATGTTTTCTGTTGGTAAGGGAGTTCTGTGTGCCAAGTTTGGTTCGATTCCATCATTGGTGGAGTTCAGAATGCTCTTTGATTGTAGGTGAATGATAAATCCAAGCAACGACGACTCTCAAATGACAAAATCAACCACCACCACCCCCAACACCACTAGTATTCAAATTTGGGCGTATTGGGTATTTGTGCCAAATTTGGTCCAGTTAATGAAAATATATCCTGCATATCAGAGATTTACATTGTGATTCCTAACAGTAGCAAAATTACAGTCATGAAGTAGCAACAAAAATAATTTTATGGTGGGGGGGGGGGTCACCACAACATGAGGAGATGTATTAAGGGGTTGCGGCATTAGGAAGGTTGAGAAACACTGTCTTAAAGCATTTGGTCTTTCTCAGCTATCTCTTTTCCTGGAAATTTTGAGAGATTCCCTTAGTCCTCTTTGAATTTTTCAAAGAGTCATGTTCTGTATAGCTGACAATGTTCTTAAGAACATACTTCTAAAATGTATGTATATAACATTAATGTGTTATAATATATTTATTGCATCCTTATTAAAAAAAAAAATAACCAAAAAGCAATGTATCACTATGTACTACATTAAGATCAGAATCTATATTTATGTATTACTAGCCGTCCCCTGTCGCCCGTTGCTGTGGCCCAGTCTGTGTATGTGTGTTTTGTGTGTGTATATATTTGTGTATATGTGTATATATGTGTGTCTGTGTATATATGTGGTTTTGTGCATGTGTTGTAATGTGTTTTTTTTTTGCTTTTTAAGTGTCTTCTGCTGTGCTTTTCAGTGTTTTTATGAGTGATGGTCACTTGTTGGTCTGATATGTGTATTATGTCCAAATTTTGTGTCAATTTGTCCAGTGGTTTTTGAGTTATGTTAATCCCACAAACAAATATTAAATTTTTATTTATATAGGCTATATTTATATTTTCTTTCAATTCCTTCTGCTGCTTAAGTGATAAATACAATTTTTCACTTAAGCACATGGTTTTATTCTCATAATCATAACATTACTAGTTCAGGATGTTTCATGCCTGAACACAGGTTTCAATTTTCACATCCAGTAAAATGCCAAATTAAAAAAAATAAAACACTTTGGAAACTTCAGCACACACCAGGCCCAGAACTGAATCTGGTCCTTTGGGCTTTTCCACCTGGTCATGCCATCTCCCCATTAATATTGTATGTGTTTCCCCATTGTGGAAGGTGGAAATACTTCTACAATAATGGAAGTAAACGTTTTTAACTAAAATATCTTTGCATTTTTGGCCTTGCCAGAATTCAAACTTAGCCCTTGGGAATTTTTCTGTATTTGACTTGATGCCCTTTCATACATCCTCACGACATATTTAAAGTTTTACCAAAATCATGTGGCTTAGTTTCATTGAGATCCTGTTGTCTTTTTCATCTAAATTTTAAAGAAAAGGAGGGGCATTTTCAAGTCATTTTGCCCAAAGCTGGACATGAAGTAGCTCTCTTTCACATTGTTATCAAATTTAACCCCCCCCTCCCCCGCTTCCCATTCTGCCAGTATATTCAATAAGTGTGACACCAGTTTGTACTGATGCCCCATAAAACCTTTGTAACATAAAACGTTTGCAACAAATGAGAGTCATGGTGGAACAAAGGTTAATTGTATTGATTTGTTAGCTTGCATAACAAAAATTGTTCCTTATCTAACCAGTTCTAAAGTATGAACTCTACACAGAGTAACTTTTACGTTCACTCCCTTCTAATCTGGACAGCAATCATTGCAAAAAC